CAAATTGTGTGTTCTTTTTAATACTTTTTAGATTACTCTTTGTCTAGAAACAGCAGTTTCTTAAATTCTTCAAAGTGTTGTTTAATAGAGTTCTGAAGTTTGAGGCCAAGACAAAGACTGTATATTTTTTTTTAAACTTGCTTGGGACATTTTGTATCATTAGTTTTGACCGTGCGTTTACGGTCTCAGTGGTTTATGCACGGTTTAGTACTTTCTACAGACTTTGCTCATGATTTTCAGCCTTCAGGCTTAATCAGGTTTGAATATTTGGTTTAAAGGCAATTTAGTTGGCCTTTGGGATTAAATTTTGCTTTCATTGGGTTTAAGGTTTTAGACTTAAGAGAGATTTTTTTGTCTAATAGATATGCTACTTTTGGCTTGGGCTACTCGGTACAAATTGGCGGGGCATGATGGTGCATGTGAAAAACCGTACAAACGAAAACATTCTTTGCCAATAGGCTTCACCTTATGTGTGCAAAGGTCATGAATGTCCTTTGTTCTGCTTTTCAATAATGTGTCGTCATGCGTGGACTGTACCGTTGCCCCAAAGAATGACGCATGTCGGTTTTTTATCATGCTCCTCGGGAAGTGCATACACGGGAATCTCTCTATAGATGACCTGACCTTACACTGCTTTCCTTTCTGTGCACGGATGATGAAGTAAACGGGGGCAATGCAAACAGCCACCCACACGCTTTTTGCAAGTGAAAACGTTCTGTGCAAATGTTGTACATGTACATTATTTGGCTGTCTCACGCAACGGAGGTTACGGAGCCGTAAAGTACGGAGGCTCTGAGGAGACGTGACGAGGAAACGAGTCAACGAGAAAAGGCATCGTTAAGTTCATTGTTCGATTGAACGAGAGAAAATGCAGCACTGCAAAAATGAACACCTTAAACACGATAGCAGATAGTAGTGTATTCATTATCATGAACAAAAAACGGGCCCCTGTATATGCCAACCTGGCAGGGTCCTATACAGACAAAGTTTACTTACTGAAACCAAAGATTTCTTTTTCCTTTTTTTTGGACACGTCCGAGTGCGTCTTCTACCACAGCCCAGGCATGCTTCACTGCACCGAACAACTATTCACCCGATCATAACATTCCACTTGTTTGTCTTCTCCACTCCGTCTGTCTCCATTTTGTCAAGTTATTGCGAATTGAATAGTTTGCACGAGAATCACTTATCCGCAGTAGTACATAAATACGTGCGTTGGTGGAGTACATGGACATGCGCACACATAAATCATGGCTGACCATCAATCGACACAGAGCCAAAGTTGAAATTGATAAAATGAAAGGGAGGACAAGTTGCAATAGATTAAACATAACGTGGTATCCTTTTTGAAACACTCTTTCCATTACCAAGATATGTGGAGAAACTGGAGAACGATGACTTAGTTATCTCGTTTAAACGACATGTTAGTTATCTCATTTAAACGACATGTTAGTTATCTCATTTAAACGACATGTTATTTATCTCGTTTAAACAACATGTTAGTTATCTTNTAAATTGTGTGTTCTTTTTAATACTTTTTAGATTACTTTTTGTTTAGAAACAGCAGTTTTTGAAGTTCGTTGAAGTGTTCTTCAATAGAGCTCTGAAGTTTGAGGCCAAGACAAAGACCTAATAAATTAAAAAAAAATTTTTTAGCTTGCTTGGGACAATTTGTATCTATAGTTTTGACCGTGCGTTTACGGTCTCAGTGGTTTATGCACGGTTTAGTACTTTCCACAGACTTTGCTCATGATTTTCAGCCTTCAGGTTTAATCAGGTTCGAATATTTGGTTTAAGGCAATTTAGTTGGCCTTTAGGATCAAGTTTTGTTTTCACTTGGTTTAAGGTTTTAGATTTAAGAGAGACTTTTTTGTCTGATAGATATGCTACTTTTGGCCTTGGTGCTGCATTTCTTCTCACAGAGTTTCATGCGGCGTCGGTTTCCACGCGAATAGCCGTGCAAACGAAAACACTCTGTGCCAATGCTTCACCTTCTGTGTACAAATGAATGCCCTTTGTTGCGCTTTAAATACTGTGTCGTCAAGCGTGGACTTTATCGCTGCCCCCCAGAGAATTTCGCATGTGGGTTTTTTTATCGTGCTCCTCTGGAAGTGCATGCATGAACGGGAATCCCGACCTGACCTCGCATTGCTTTCTTTTCCGTGGACGGATAAAGAAGTAAACGGGGGATTATTGTATTTGGCTTTCTCGCGCAACTGAGGCTAACTATACGGAGCCGTAAAGTACGGAGGCCCTGAGGAGACAGGGAACCTCACCAGGTACAACATCGCCAGGGCATCTGATTACTACTTCCATCCAATCTTACGTCGATTCTTTCACCACTGTTCGCCCCGTTGAAGAAGTTGTGTACGCAATAAGGCCGTGCCCGAAACGGGCTTCCAGGGCTACGGCTAGGTCTATTGTCTACGCGTCTCCACGCTTTTATAATGGAGCGAAGACTTAGGCCTAGCTCTAGGCAAGAGATTCGGATGCAGCCTAACTTATATGTTCTGAGAGCATTATAATCTATTCAGGCGCCATCATGGCGCGCAAGTATATGCGCGTTTGACGCGGAGCACGCTGAGTACGCGTAACTAATTTGCTCCGGCATGTATGGTCTTTGCGTACACACAAAAAGAGCGCAAGATCCCGCTTGTAACCACCTGTCTTTCTTTCTGCCGATTGGGGGTGCACTTCAGCTCGGGGCTGACAGCTCTATGTTGAAATCCTAACTTAATCGCGCAAGGCATGGTGTGGGAACCAACACGGCGCGGCAAGATCGTACCCGTGGGAAGGAGGTTGTGTACATGTACTCCAACTTACTCCAATTTCCAAACGTGGGTATAGTAGTGACCGACATTTCCGATCATTTCCCAGTCTTTACTCTATTCCCATTAAAATACTCACATAAAGACATAATTAATTTAAGTTCACGACCTGAGCTCCCGTGACTGGACCAATGTTGCATCTTCCTCTGATGACAAACTTTGTCGATTGTCTTATAGTCTTGTTTAAGGCTTCTTTAAGTGTGTTAAGTGCTTAATGTATATGTAACTTTTTTTTTCCCTCGGGAAAGGGTTCAAAGTTACATTTTGGTTCTCAGCAGGCAGATCCCTACACAGCAAGCATTGCTTTTGAGGGATCTCCTTCCACATCGTTATGAATAACTCTGGAGTGTAATTCTTTGTATTGAATGAACGTATATACACACAGTGTCGGTACGTGTGGCAGATTTTGGCAACGCACACGATTCTGGGTGTGACCCGCGTTTAACCCAGGCCACGGAGACCAGGTGAACTGCAGCGTCGCATCTTGTTCCGGAAGAGACGGTTTGCGTACAGAGTCCTGCTGGTGGGACCATCAAGTCCCGTATTTGCGACGGTCATCACGCCCTCGCCGCTACGTCTCGAGCCCGGTCATTCGTATTCGACTTGGTCTTTGTCCCCGTTGCGGCTTCCTTTTCTCACCGTCAAGGACTGAACTGTTTTTCGCTATCTGTTGATTCCAGCATGCTTTTATTGTAGTGCCTGCCAAGCTCTCGCCCGTAAGATCAACTTGTTTATATTTTTCTGGATGCTTCAGCCTTATCATTTTAAACAAGTTCAAATTTTCACTTTTTTTGTTATCCTTATCCTTACTTTTTACACGCCAAGTGTAGCATTCTCATCAAATCTTAATTGTTTATTTGTGCCTGAATTACTTATCAGTTTGATCTTGTTTGATTTCTTTGTTGCATCGGAGAAATTTCAAGCTTTGAATAATTCCTATTCTTAAATAGATTGAAGTTTTTTGGATTGTAAGAACTGTCATTCGTATTTTCCGCTAGTGGTGGTCCCAAACTGTGGGAGGGGCGCTACTTGAAGCCCCCCAAAATTTGATTTAATGAATATGCAGGGTGCAAGTTCCATATCTATGCCAAACGATTAAGGGCACCAGTGATATTTCCTGAGGAAATGTTATTGTTTTTCAATGTTCTTATGTTGCCGATTTGCATTTAGTGTGGTGTCCTTAATCGTTTGGCACAGATATGAAACTTGTACCCTGCATGTTCATCAAATCCATCAAATCTCTTCCTCGTGAATGATTGAGTCCAATGCTCACTTCAAATTAGTTGAACACGAGGGAAGACATCGAAAAACAGCGACAAGGACATGTTGCTCAGCTAAATCCTCACCAAGTTGCCTCAAGATTATTCTTGGAAATGTAGTCATGTTCTCCAGTGTTTCTCAACCTTTTTTATTTGTGATCTTGTGCAGCAACAGTTTCAAAGA